TAACATTAGGTTGCTGATTTGAGGTCTTTCTTCTACTTTAAGGTGTGCATCACAGATGTGAATTTCCCTCTCACACCCCTCCACATCCTCTAAGGTTTGGTATGTTGCGTCATTCCATTTGTTTCAAGGTTTTTCCTTTACTAAACCTCCCTAATTATTTACGCAGCCATGTTGAGTCTACTGATGAGCCAATCAGTGGAATTCTTCATTTCTGTTGGTGTTTTTGATCTGCAGCATTTTCTTTTTATTCCGTATATTATTCCATAGAATTCTTCCTGTCAGCTTATAGTGCCGCCTGTTCTTGCATATTGTATACTTTTTTTATTAGCGCTCTTAACATACTAATCATACTTATTTTATAATCTTTATCTGATAATTCCAACATCTGTGAATCTAGTTGTGATGATAATTTGTCCTTCAGACTTTGTTTCTCCTTGACTTTGGCAGGCTTTATAATTTTTTGTTGAAAACCACACATGTTGTATAGGGTAATATGTGCTGAGGTACACAGGCCTTGTAGTGTAAGCATTTATGTTCATCTGGCTAAGGACTGGACTGTTTTAATATCCTGCACACCCACAACCCCAAAGGCCTCTTACCTTCCCCTCACGTCTTTCCTTTGTGGCTTCCCTGCATTCTGGCCCTTCAAATGTTTGTCTTACAGCTCTTTTTGTTGGGATATACTGTTACTACTGGAGGCTTATTAGTGTGATGGCAGGTGAGTGGTCGGTGGGGTTCCCTTACCCTCTGAGCTTCTAATGACTTCTCAGTCTTGTGTGCCCGTGCCTCAGGGTGGGGTTAAACCTTTAGGAACCCTAGGCCCTTCTGGAGAGTTCCCAGTCTGCTTTCTTGAAGACCTCTCCTGCCTGTCACTCACTCACTTGACTGACTGACTTAGTTATGTTCCTCACATGGGTCGGGAGGGCTGGAATGGACGGCAGAGGGCCGGAGTTCCCTTCCTTCGGCTTGGAAAAGGTCCCAGAACAGCCCTTGAAGTCCCGCCACTGGGGTCGGCCTGTTAGGGAAAAGGATCTGACGGGTTTCACAACGGCTTCTCTCTCTCTCTGCCAGGCCCATGAGGGAATCCTTTTCTGTCATTACACTGGCAACATAGTGTGGTTCCTGGTGGACAGGCCTGTAAAAGTGACCACCTCCTTTTTGTCCAGCCTCCCAACTTCTCACATGACCTAAAATCACTCTTTGACTGTTCCTACCAATTTTGGGGATCTTGCAACTTCCGCTCTATGTCTTGTTTGCTGTATTTCTCTGGATACATCTGTTTCTTCAGGCTTCAGGGAAGTTGTCTGCTCTGGACCTCAGTTTTCTGATGGGTCATGAAAATCACTGATTTTCAGTTTGTCCACCTTATTCTTGTAGGGATGGAATTTCAGCAATAACTAAAATCACTTTTCTATGGGTGTGTGTGGTATGTTTCCATCAGCATGGAGCCCAGAGCCTCGGCACAGCAGGGCTGTGAGATGTGGACATGGAAGCAGGCTGTGTTGTTCATGTAAAAAGTGCTTCCTATCATTGTTGAGGCATGTTTCATTTTTATAATTTTGAAGAGGACTTCAATAGGAGAATAAAGGAGTGAGGGCATCATTGTTTGTAATAGCAAAAATGGGCAATAACTTGAATATCCACCCACAGGAGAGTGTGTGAATTAACCGTGACCTGTGGGAGGCTGTGCCACTGCTCCAGCAGTGGGGAGACCACCCCCAGCAGCGCTGTCTGTCATTCACTGGGTGGTAAAAACACACTGACATTAATGTGTGCATTTTCACAGGCATGGAAGGGGTCTGAGCACACACCCCCAAGCTCCAGAAAAACAGGAGAGGGGAGCTGCTCAGCATTTCCTGGTGTTTGCATGGTTGCAGTAAGTACAGTAATTTCCTAATTGAAACTAATTTCTTAACTGAAACAACAGAGGGGCAAAGGAAGGAAGCTGCCTTCCCATTGTTTCCCTTTTGTATCTTTGAGTTTTGTATCCTATGTATTTATCCCCATTCCATAGAAAGAAAATAAACAACTAGGAAAGGTAAGAAACACCCGCAGGGTAGTTTACAGCCTGCGCCTGCCTGCCTTCAGCCTCACTCAGTGCCTCCCCCCTGCCCTTCCCCAGCCCCCTGGTCTGCCTGGCCCCCTGCTGCAAAGTCAGGTCTCTGTCCTGTTGGGGAGATGGGGACGTTGCCTGCTCGCCCACCCCTCAGCCCCGCAACTGCACCTCCCACTGCAACCTCGGAACAGTGGAAGGTTGGAGGCACAGGGCATGGGCCCCAGGCCCTACCTACCACTGTGTGACCTGAGTGAGGCACCCAGGATCTGTGGGGCAGCTACATGCTGTGGACAACCGGACCTGCTTCTTGGGATTTCACTTTATATGGGAAAACCTCCCATAACCTCTAAGCTATGTGTGAGCACGACGGTTAGAAAGGACCTGAGTCCTGCAAGCGCCCAAGTCAGGCCCTAGGCGAGATGCCTGTCCCAGGAGCTGGCCTGCTTCCTTCTGGCGGCTCACCCTGAGGATGTCCTGGAAGCCTGCAAAGCCCCATCAGGCTGGCACTTCCCGGGCCCTCGTGCAGGGCAGCCAGTCTTGGGGTGGGGTATGTAGAGACAGGGCGAGGGAGCCTCTGACCCACCACTCAAAGGTCACCCTGTGCTCCTCCGCTGTCACAGAAAGAAGCCTAGCAGGTCAGCATGGGGCCGCCCCCCAGGGTGCTGGAATGAGAATCTCTGGGGTGCCAGCATTGCTCAACATGCTCCTGAGATCGGGAGCCCCGGGGCCGGCAGGTCCTCCCAGGCAGGCCTGGCCCCCCTCCTTGTTTCTGTTGCCCCGCTGCTGGGTCCCCACCGACTGTGGCTTGCCATGGCCTCCAGGTCCTGCCCTCCTGACCCCAGGTCCCTGCTGCCCATGCTGGGCCTCCTTGGCTCCTGCCCTTCCCAGGGCTCCCCCCCATCACCCTCAGCCACTGTGTCCCTCCCAGCAAGGAGACGCTCCATCGGAGTACTTCCGCCGAGGTCAAACCCTGCCTCCTACCATGCTCCAGACGCAAGGCCCAGTCAGTGAGAAATCAGAAGGCAATGTGCAACCTTTTGATATTTCATTCTTTCAACAAGTATTTACGGAGCACTTGCCCTGCTCAGGTGAAGTACAGAGTGACAGGGCCATGGCTGAGCTGGGGGTGCCCCTGCCCAGGCCCTCAGCCTCCTTCCAGGGACACGTGCTGCTGTCCAGGTGGTGCTCAGACACCCGCGCCCCGAAAGGAGGGAAGAGCAGAGGCTTTGAGAGAGGCACTCGGCACAGGGGCTCCGAGGGAGAAGTTCTGGGGCTGCTGAAGAGCTGGGCCTTGGAGTCGCCGTGGGACTCAAACTCCGTAAATCCCACCAACTAGCTGTGTCCATGGACAAGTCACATCGGCCTTCCGTGTCTCAGCCTCCACATCTGCACTCAGGCGGATGCAGGGGCAAGCTGGACTATTGTGTCCTCTGCTCAAAGCAAGGCTCAGTAAATGGCCATCTGTGGGGTCTGGGAGGAGGGGTCAAGCATGGCTTCCCAGGAAGGCCGCCCTGACCTGCCTCAGCGTCCCAGGGCTACACAGGCCAGGGCAGGAGCCTCGCCATGAACTTCTGAGCCCACGGTGTGCCCGCACCCCGCACTTTGTAGGTCCCAGCGAGCAGTCGCTAATGAAGCCTCAGACATCAGGGGAGACACAAGGCTGCACTCAGCGGTCAGGCTGCATCCCCCCATCTGGAAATCCTTCGGCCCCCCCCACCCATAATCCCCAGACCTGCCCCTTATATGCCACTGCCTATCCCACCCTTCACATCTCCCTGCAGTATGTGGCTGATGTAGGATCTAGTCACAGAGACCTTGCAGGGCACCTGATGTGCTGACACTGGCAGGATGGACACATGCCCTTCCTGCAGAGGCAGCCACCCTTCCCCTCCACAACCTTGAATGTTCGGTCCTTGCATCTGCTGCACTTTCGGAGGGATGAGATGGAAGGTGAGTTTTCCTGCAGGGTTGGGGGTGGGGTGGGAGCGCTGACAGTGTGGATGGAGAACGGCAGAGCTGTGGAGCACCCAGCAGTGTTTTCCCAAAGAACACTCTGCCATCCATGGCTCAGAGTGCATTGTTTGTCTGGGGAGATTTGTGACAGACAATTCGCCACTTGTCCACAGGTTCCGGCCAGCCCTGGCAGGGCTGCACATGGTGTCTGCTGGCTCAAGGCTCTTGCTGAGATGGCGCTGGTCCTGCTTCTTTTCCCAGGGAGAAGCCTCGGGGCCCCAGGACATTGTGGCTGCTTGTCCTGTGGTGCAGAGCAGGCTGGGCAGGGCTGGTGGCACTCCTGAGCTCAGCGGCAGCTGCCCAGCCTGCCTGTCTCCCACTCTGTGTCCCACCCCTGAGCTCACACATTTATTCTTCTCGACTCCTGTGCAGTTACCGGCTGCTTCCCATTTACCACAGGCCGTTTCCTCCCAGCAGCTCCAAGCCCGGCTCCTCTTCTTGATGCGCTGAGGAGGAGCAGCCAGGTCCCCGCCCGTCCCGCGTTCTGCTCTTCGTTCCCCGGTGGGTGCCAGTGAGGCAGGGCACTGGGAGCACCGGCAGCCCTGCAGCCCTCCTGGGTGTCTGGGCTGCCCAGGACCAGGTCTGCCCCAGCTGCGAGGTTCAAGCCTGGATGCTACCACATTAAAATGCCCTGCCCGGCTGGCCTGACCCTGCCATGCCCTCCCCATCAGTCCTCACATCAGGAACAAAGGAAGGAGATTTGAGGCTTAGGTTCTCCTGATCGACCACAGAGATGCAGCTCCTGGTGAGTGGGAGCCCGTCATATGGGAGGGGCTTGGCCACGGCTGGCCTGAGGGCCCCCACTTCGGGCTGGTTTCAGAGGGGGCCCTCTTAGTCCAGGAAGCTGCAGTGCCTTTCTGGGACACTTGCAGATGAGGCCCCCTTGTGCTGGCCAGGAGTGAGGCCCAAGAGTCCTGGCAGGTGGCCCAGGGGCTCAGCTGGGCAGCAGTCCGGGGGGACTATGAGTCCAGCGGGCCCCTGTGTGCCCTTGAGCTGAGTTGCAGGGGCTGGCTATCCACAGAGACCTGGGCCTGGGCATCCAGCCTGGTGGGCTCCACCCCAAGTCGGCTCAGATCCAGGTCCTGGGCTGGGCACCTCTGGTCCTGCGGGCTGGCCAGAGAGGGTAGGCCACAGGCAGCGGCCATGCTAGGAAAGCCATTAGGCTGTTTCCACTGCAGATTGTCAGGGCCCCTGGTGTGAGGCTGCCCACAGGCCCTATGGCCCGCATCCTGCCTTGGGGGCTGCGCAGTGGGGAGCCAGTGGTCTGGGTGGATCTGCAGGGCTGCTATTTGGGCCACACAGCCTGTCAGGGCAGGTTCTGCCTCCAGAGAGCTGCCCTCAAGACCTGGCCTCCAAGGACCTCGGAAACACCCCAGGCTCCCAGGTGGCCTGGGCTCCCGGGAGCTGGGCCAGGCAGAGGGGTCCGGGACCTTGTCTTCCCGGGACAGGTCTGTTGTCACAGAGGCTGAAGACTCCATGGAGGAGAATGAGCCTTCATGACAGCTCCGGGTCCCCTCCTCCCCAGAGACCTGCACACACTCCAGAGACAGGTCTGTGCACAGAGAGCTGGTCCCCTGGTCGGCCCCTGCCAGGACCTCACTGTCTCCAGCAAACAGGCCCTTGCTCCCCGCATGTGCCCACGGCTCCTGCCTGCTAGGAGCTGAGCCCACGGGGGTCCTACCTGTACCTGAGGCCTGGGCCTCCCTGCCCTCCAGTTTCTCTGGACCTGGGCCCCTGTTCTCAGAGCCCATTGCCTGCTTCTCCACTGGTCCCCTCGGCTGGGTGGAGGGCTCCCCAGGGGCTGAGGCGGGCCGGGCGCGAAGCTCAGGGCCCCGGCGCAGCCAGTTGATAATGCCCATGGTGATGGCAAGCTCCGTGTCACAGAGCTTCAGCAGGCACTCCTTGCCCTTCCAGGAGCTCTGCAGGAAGCCCTGGCTGAGCAGGTCTGGGCCGGGTGCCGGGGCCAGGTTCTCCTCCGCCCCGACGTGGAAGCTGCACATGGACAGTGGCATTCCGAGGGCCGGTCCCGACAGGCTCTCCGACACGCACAGGTCATCATCCAGGCTTGGCCGGACAGGCCCCTCGCTGGGGTCATAGAAGAGCTCGTAGAGGGCGTCTCCGCTGTAGCTGTCCCGAGGCAAGGCAGCCGCATGTGTGCCTGGGCTCAGGGCCTCCCTCTTGTCCTCCTCAAGGCCAGGCGAGAAGGAGTCGTAGTAGCCCTCGTCGCTCGTGGACACAGACTCTGGCTGCTCGCTCTTGGGGGTGCCTGTGTCTACAGAGCTGGCTTTGGAGCCACTGTGGGGGTCCCTGCAGGGGCCCAGGGGCAGCTCGGCAAGCTCCGCTGCATCCAGCCTCGGCTGCTCTGTGTCTGTCTCCTGCGGAGCCCCTAACCACGGGCCCAGGAGGGTGCGGTGCTGCCTCACGGTGTGATTCACGCTGTCCCAGAACTTGGCCAAGTCAGACGTCTCGTTCTGGGCAGGAGACGCCAGCTGCTCCACGCTGCCCTGGAAGGGACCCCGGGGAGATGCCTGGGCTGGGCTCTCTGGGCCATCACTCAGCTCCAGGGATGGCACTGAGCTCTCATCCGCAAAGATCTCCCCGCAGCCTGTGAGTGAGTCGAAGCTCTTGAGTGAGGCCACGTCCTCACACAGGGCCCTGCAGAGGTCGAAGGAAGAGTCGGGCAGGAGCTCACTATCAGATAGGTCCTGGCACAGGCTGTCCAGTCCCAGCCCCTCGCCCAAGGGGAGGAAGGCTTTGCCCCACTGCCCTCTAGCCTCCGAAGGGCCCCCGGGGGAGGACAGGCTCTTCCCCTTGGTTGCCAGCGAGGCCAAGCTCTCAGTCTTACTTCTGTGAATGTGGAATAGGTTCCGAAAGCACTTCTTGGGGCGTTTCAGGGAAATCCTCTTCCTTGGGATGCTCTTGGCCACAGCTGGCACGAAGGGCATCTGGGGCACGAAGTTGCGATAGTCAATCATGCGCTGGCTGCTGGGAGGCCCCGGGAAGCTGGCACTGCCCACCAGGTGCCCAGCAGCTGCGGCCGCCCTGCCAGCCCCGGGCACGCTGTCGTGAGTCTTGCTTTTCCGTACCAGTTTGAAGGTGGCCCCACAGGAGGCTGTGGCATCCCCCTCGAGGGCTGGCTGGGCCCCTTTGTTGGGGTGTCTGTCGTATCCTTGCGTGCTGGGACTGACCAGGGGGCTCCTCTTACCGTGGGGCCGCTGCTGTCCTCCCGGTGAGACCGACCAGAGGCCCGCCTCCTCCCTGCCCTGGGCAAGAGCTGCTGTGTCTGGGGACTTCTCGCGGGAAACATGCAGGCTCGATTTGATGAAGGTCTTCCCCCTCTTGAGCTCCATGCTGCCTGCGGCTGCTGTGGAGGGAAGCAGGGGGCACTTAGTGTCCACAGTGGGGGCCTGGGCTCCCGAGGCCCTCTGCCCACCCCCTCACACAGTGCTGTTGGAACAGAGCTCGGACATCTGAACTTAGGGACTCCGTGGAGGTGGGGGAGGGAGAGGGGAACAGCCCCACCCATGCTCAGTGCTCCAGCCTTTATAGACAGTGATGCCCAGGGATGTTAAGTCACATGCCTAAAGGCACACAGTAGGAGCCAAAATGAGCTCCTGCATCTGCAGTCTCTCAGCTCACCCAAGCATTCTCCCAGAGCTTCTCTGGCCAAATCCGGTAAATCCCATTTCCGAGCCCAGGCACTCTATCCTTGCAGGGAAGTACCACGGCCACCTGCGGTCTCTCAGAGGATTCAATCATAAGCTGCCTCCTCCTCCACCTGAGAGATGAAGCTTCAAGGCGGCCCAAGCCCGCCTCCCGAACCCCAGGTGGCTGGCTATCAGAGGGACAGACACAGGCACTGCCCTCCAGGACTGCTGCTCCTGTTTAAGAGGCGAGACTCAGTCGACCCAGAGGCCACCCCACAAGGCACAGTGAGCATCCCATGCTGCATGAGAGCCTGAGCATTCAGGAGAGAGAGAGGGCATCATGGTGGCAGGCAAGAGACGGGGCAAGCATGAGGCCAGGACCAGGTAGAGATGGACATAGCACAGTGAGGGCTGGAAGAGCAGGCCGCTGTGGCCTTCCACACACAGGTATTGACAGGGGCTGTGTCTGGAGTGTCATTCAGAAGTTTCTGGTGGCCAGTCTGAGCTCAGTGGAGAGCTGCTAGAATTGCTTACTGGTGTCTGTCATGGCTCTGGGGGTGGAAGGTGGGAGAGGGTTAACAACCTGCTCATCCTTGCACAGCTGGGAGTGCGGCCTTAGTCCAGGCTCACTGAACAGCTGTGGGCTTCTTCTGAGTGCGTGGGTGAAAACAGTGACATGGGGGCGTCGGGGGCCTAAGGCCATTCATCTGACATGAGTGGAGGACAGCATAACAGGAGAGAGACTCTAGCAGGAAGGGTGCACAAGAGGCAGCTAAAACGAGCTGGGTGTGGGGATAAGGCGCAGGTGGAGGCTACGGTCACAGGCATGAAAAGAGGGGTAAAGTTACAGGGACTTCCGAAGGAAGAAACTCCAGGATGCAGCAACTGAATAGAGAGGCAGGCAGAAGTCCTCAGCCGAAGCATTGGAGAGGTCGGGCCGACTCTGCTGCCTGTAGCTGCCAAGCAGCTCTCTGAAGGTACCTGAGGCTCCATCGGCATTGGCTCAGAAAGGCGTGCTGGCGGACAGGGCCACTTGCTTTCCCACCTGCTCCACTGCCCCTCACAGAAGGTGGGCTGAGAAACCAGAGGAAAGCCAAAGAAACCAGCCCCAAACCCTCCTCCCTACGTCTCCCTGGCCAGACTGACAGAGGAGGACCCGCTGATCCCTCACCGCCAACGGCAGGAGGAGGCACTGGGGCAGCCAGGGCCTGTAAGCTGGGTGCCTGTGGCCACTGCAGGGGGGCTCAGGGCGGATCTCGGGTGGTGTCCTTGGGCAAGGCCTTCTTTCTGAATGGTGACGGGAGCTCCAGTCTCAGTCCAGAGGCAGCCTGTTTAAAACTGGACCATTGCATCTCTTGCAAAGGGCCCTGGGCACAGGACCATCCTCACTGCGCTCTGCTCTCCGCTTCCCAGCCTTTGCCCATTCTGCGTGGCCCCTCTCCTGGCATGCTCCGACACCAGGACCCCACGGTGGCAGATTGCCTCACAGTCCAGCTGGCAGTGTTAAAGCCAAAGAGGCTGAGGAGGGCTGGCAAGGCTGGCATTGCAGAGGCCCACAGGGTCAAGCTGACCTGCCTCCATTCCACTCCCACCCGTGGACAGTGCTTCCTCCCTGCAGAGGGACAGCTGGGACTTTTGACTGGAGGATGGGATGGGGAGCAGGCCCTGTGCCAGGGAAAGCCGCAGGACCCAGGCTCGGCTCTGCTGCCACTCAGCTTTTGGTGGCAATATCCTGGACAGTATGACAATGCTCGAAGCTGCTTTTGTGCCTCCTGCCAGATGGCACGGCCCAAGCCTTTCCCACTGTGCACCTACAGACCCCATTTCCACTGCCCACAATACTTTGTGGCCTGAATACGGTCTTCCCACTCTGAGGGATGGTGTTACATGCAGCACAGTGGCTGGTACCGGCACTTTGGAGTCAGAGGACCCAGATTTGAGTCTTGGTTACATCGACCTAACCAGGAGCAGTGCTTGGTCCGTCACCTTGTAAGAGACACTGTAACCTCCATTTTACAAAGGAGAAGTTAAGGTCCAGAAAAGCCCAAGGATCAGCCCAGGTCACTCAGGTGGTAAGTGACAAAGCTAGGATTAGAACCCAAGCTTGTCTGATCCTGAACTTGTGTTCTTACCCATGATGGACATTCTATAGAGCAATAGCTCATGCTTCCCTTCACGGGAAATCTAGAACTCGATAATAAATGTGTTTTTTGTGATGAATTTTGGAAAACATAGTGAAAATGAAGATTAAAAGCAAAAGTGTAGCTCACTCAAATTTAGAAAAATTGTAACTGAAAGCAATAAAATTTCTATGGCAAGAAATTTTATGAATTCATATGAAATCTCTATTGCATTTATTCTTTTCTATGTTTTAGAAAAATCTTTTTATTACCATACTCTTGGAATAACTTAGCCAGACATGATAAAAATTATTTCACTGTGTGAGGAATTCTACAACTACAAAAACTAAGATGATCTCTATAAATAAAACTATTGGTTTTTTAATTCTTGGAACAGCTAACTGATTTAAAATCATGAAGAGTTGGAAATTTCACCACACCCTGAACTTGAAAAATGATCCCTCAAAATAGCTGTCATTGCTATAGGTGGCTGGACTCAGTGTCACTAATATTGCCAACCCTGTTTTCTGAGTTCATTTAGCACTCTGCACATCAATAAGACAAAAAGCACTAAGGTCCAGAACAACGAACCAGAGACTTGCAAAATCCTGGAGCAATCACGTAAGATCCATGTGTTCAGTCCAGTCAGTTTCCATATTAATGTCTTTTAGAGCCTGTCTCTTTGGAAATGTGGGGCTCGTATGTGATATGCATGGGAACCCCCCAAGGGGTAGAGGGCCCACTATCCAACTGGAGACAGGCTGAGCAGTCACCTTCCATGACAGTTCTCAGGGGCAGAGTGGGATTTATCTGGACAGCCAGATGCCGGCACTGATATTGCTTGAGGGCAGAGGCCAAATACTCCAGGTTCTCAGCTGCATGAATGCCCACTCTGCTTTGTAACCCTGTGGCTAAAGACCCCCTTAGTAGACCCCAGCAGGAAACCTGAGTGAGACTCTGACACCATGTGCCACATCGTTCCCCAAAGGACAAAGCCCACCCAGCCCTCCGCCTGCTCCGTGCCTTCTTGTCTGGAGCATCCGTGATCACTGGCAGCTCACACTGCAGCTTGCTTGGTCTTCTTGCTCCCCAATGAGGCTGAAAACTTCTCCAAGACTCAGGACTTCAATTGTAGTAGACTGTGAGCAACTACTTATTTAAATGAATTTTTGGGACATCTTATCCATATATTTCCATCTAAATTTCCTAAATAGGATGCAAGGTCTGGAATTTTTAATTCTACAGTTTATGCATATAATTTTCTCTGATGGTCTTAGTGACACTAAGACCCTGGACTCTTTCATTTCTAAATGAACTTGCAAATTCCATGAGAAAACACCATGTATTTGTTGAATCAATTCTGATTCAGGGATGTGGTATTTAAACCAAGACTTAAAAGACAGCTGACGACAACTGGGCAAAAGACGTGGGCAGCGTATTCCAGGCAGAGGGAACATCTTGCCGAGAGGCCTCCAGAAACAAGCGAGGGAGAATATTTAAAGATCTGAAAGCGGGCTCAGGTGGCCAGAGCAGCAGATCAGTGGGAGGAGGCCAGGAGATGGGCAGGGCAGCCCACACCTGGCCTGAGGTGCCAGGGAGGGTCGTGGCCTTTATCCTATGCACCGTGGAGAGCCAACCATTAAGGGTGAGTACCAGGGGCCAGTTTTCAGTTCTAACAAATCACTCCAGGTGCCCATGAGAATGCCAAGTAGGGGCAAGAGTGGAGGCAAGAAGATAAGTTAGGAGCCAGAGCGGGGTCCCGTGCAGAAAGTGGCGGCAGAGAGATGCACGTGTATATGGATTTACGCAAAGTGAGCAAAGGAAGTCATTCTACTGGCTGCTTTTCTATAGGATGACTAACTTCAGCTCATCTGCCTAGAGGATTTTCTTTTCCCTCTGGGAAGGTAATTCTGTGCTTTTTTTCTCATTTTTAACATGAAAGGTATTCCATGCAGCAAAATAAAAACCTTGGAGGTACACATATGCAACAGAAGTGGTGCGGAGATGTAAACGTTTTGACTAATAGTTTTGGCATTTGCCATGCCTTCCCCGCCCCACCCCCAATATTCAGGAAAATCACAAGCAGTGAAATACAAAGGGGTGAGTGGTGATCAAAAAAGCAGAGCCCTCTGAGGGAGCCCCCACGGGGGACTTCCTGGGCGTTGGGGTGGCAGTAGAGGCCTATGTAGGGGGCAACAGTTAATTTCTGTAGCAACTGCCTAAGCCAAAGCCTTTCGGAGGGAGGTATGAGGGCCATTGTGAGGAGGGAAAGCTTCCGTGTTCCGGGGCGGGCGTGGGGTGGGGAATGATGCAGAAATAGAATCTGCGGTGAGAACAGCACCCATTCACCCAGCCCCCACGTCGGGGGGACAAGAGGCCCTCTGGGGAGTGACGGTTCTGCCCCATCTCCTCTAAGGGAGTTTATGGGTGCTCCTGGCCTGCCCGGCCAAGAAAAGACGGGTCTCCAGTCTTATTTGTGCTTTCCCAGCCCCCACAGCCGTAGACAGATGGTTTCTCTCCTTCCTTAGCCCAAACCTAAGAGGGTCATCACCCACAGACCCCTCACCATGCACGCGGGGCACCGCGGGGTGCAGAGATTGCAAGAGCCTGGCTCCTCCGCTCCGCTCGCCCATCGCTCAAAAGAACGCACACAAATTCCCAAATCACCCCCTTTCCCCGCAAGCCTACAGACGATCTTCGGGGCTTGGCGACTTACCGCTGGGGCTGGGAGTGTCGCAGGACGCAGCCTCGGCAGGGCCGGCAGCCGCGCCCGACCGCGCCGCGCGCTCAGCACCACGGCCAGCTCCGGGCGCCGCGCGCCCCCGCGGGCCAGGGCCGGGGAGCGAGGGGCGGGGCAGGGGAGCGGGAGGGGCGGGCGGGAGCCGGGGGCCGGGAAGCCGCGCCGGTGGGGGCTGCCCGCGGAGGGCGGCCGCCGGGCCTCGCCCGGCCTGGCTTTGTTCGGGGCTCCCCCGGGCTCCCCCGCGGGTCTCTTGTCTCCCGCAGGCTGTGGGGTGCGGCCCTCAGGCGCCGCAGCCCGGGCCCCCGGAACGGACGGCCGCCCGGCGGTCTCCCCTTTCCCCGCGCCGCAGACCGAGCTGCGCAGAGCGCACAGGTGTGGGCGCCCCCACCCTGCAGCCCGCAGCAGCCGGGCGGAGGGAACCCCAACCCTCGCGGAAGGGCTTGGCCACACAGGCCGAGTCACGAGGCCTCCCTGGGACTCACGCGGGCTTGGGAGAAGGGGCAGGCCGATCTCGGGATACAAGGTAGAGCCTTCCAGAACCTTCTTTACGGAGTGCCTTTCTCGGACCCGATTATATGATTAATGGGAGCCAACAAGGTGCCTTCCCTTCCCTGCTGGTGTCTTGGAGGGAGGGGCAGAAGTGTGGAGACCCTCCCCCCTGAGCTGAGATCAGGGCATCTGCACCAGGTGGGCAGGCGCGAAGTACGGATCAAGTAGCTGCAGGATGGCTGCGGGGGCAGTGCCGGGAGCGTGGCCGAGAGGCAGCGGAGAAGGGCCGGTGCACAGCTGGGCTGTGGGGCGGATCCCAGGGGGAGGGTGGAAATGGGAGTGTTGAGGGGGGCTGGTCCCATGCAGCACAGGGGAGGCGGGCGGTGAGCCACGGGGGAAAGGGGAGGGGGTTGACTAGTCCAGGCTTGGGATTCCGGCAGAAGGAGGTCAGGGCTCAGGCAAATGACAAAGGCCACGCCTTTGAGTTGGAGGGGCTGCCTCCCTGACCCCATGTCCAAAAAGACCCTGGACACAGGTATCCCAGTTGGGTTGGATGGGCTTTGTAATAACCCATCAGCCTTCTCTGTAATTGGTCCCCTTGGGACGGCCCCACCCCAGAGCCCAGAGGCGGCCCCGCTGCAGGCCCCCCTCCCACGAGGGCATCCCCAGGCCCTGGAGGAGCCCCGTCCTTGCATTTCTTGCAGCTGAGTGGTCTTTCTGCCCTGTGAGAGACCCAGCATGACCCCCCAGTTGTCCTCTTCTGCCACTGTAATCAGGATGTAGTCCTGACCTTTCCTGGCAGTTTGTGGCCACAGATTCCCTGTATCCACTCTTCCCTTATCAGGTAGAAGCTCAGGTGGATCTATGTCTCACAGCCACACCGGTGCTACCTGCCCGGAATCAAGCATAGGACTCCCACAGACCCCACAGTCCTCCCTAGTAAAGTTAATGAGCGTTGGCCTCTCTGACGTGGTCTCCCATCCTCTGCATTACAAGGACTTTCTATATTTCTTAAGCTTTTTCCTTTTTGAAATAGTTATGGGCTTAACTTCTTCCAAGAAGTGATAATTACTCTTTCCACCTTCAACTTGTCACCCTTAGGCAAATTAGAGCTATTCTAGGCCACCTATTTGTCCTTTTGTGTCTATTTCTTCACTTAGCATAAAGTTTTCAAGATCCATCCATGATGTAGTATGTATCAAAATTTCATTCCTTCTTAAGGCTGAAGCATATTCCATTATATGTATTTACCGCATTTCATTTGTTAAGCCGTTGATGAGCATTTGGGTTGTTTTTACCATTTGTCTATTGTAAATAATGCTGCTATGAACACTGGTGTACAAATTCCTGTTGAAGTTGCAGTTTTCACTTCTTCTGAGTGTATACCTAGAAGCGGAATTGCTGGATCATATGGTAATTCTCTCTTTCATTCTTTGAGGAACCATTATATTTCCTGGCAGTGACTGCACCAGTTTACATTCCCACCAGCAGTGCACAAGGGCTCCAATTTCTCCACATCCTCACCAACACTTGTTTTTTTCTGTGTTTTAATAATAACCATCCTAAAGGGTGTGAAATGGTATCTCATTGTGGTTTTGATTTGCATTTCCCTAATGATTAGTGATGTTTTTTCATGATTACTGACCATCTGTATGTCATCTTTAGAGGAATGTCTATTCCGTAAAGTCCTTTATTGATTTTTAAATTGGAGTATTTACATTGGTTTCAGTTCTTCTGTCCAGTTTTAATCAGATTGTTTTTTTTTGTAATTTAGTTGCATGGGTTCCTTATATATTTTGGATATTAGCCTCATATGAGATAGAGGCATTTGTGAATATTCCAGAGGTGGCCTTTATATTTTGTTGATTATTCTTTTGCTGTGCAGCTTTGTAATTTGATAGAGTTGTACTTGGTGATTTTTTCTGTTGTAGCTCATGCTTTTAATGTTCTGTTTTAAAAAATGACTGTCAAGCCCAATGTCAAGGAGCTTTTCTCCTATGTTTGCTTCCAGGGTAATCACAATTTTAGGTCTTACATTCAAGTCTTTAATTCATTTAGAGTTAATTTTGTGAGTGGTCTAAAAGAGGGTTCCAATTTCTTTTTTCTGCAGATGAATATCCATTTTCCCTAACACCCTTTATGGAAGAGACTATTATTCTCCAGAGTGTTCTTGGCTCCCTTGTCAAATATTAGCTGACCATATAGGATTTATTTCTGAGCTCTGATTCTATGCCATTAGTCTATGTGTCTGTTTTTATGCCAATACCAATGTTTTAATTATTATAGCTTTGTAATGAAATTAAAATCAGGAGATGTGAGGTCTCCAGCTTTGTTTTACTTTCTCAGTATTTTGGCAGTTCAGAGTCTTTCATGAGCCTCTGGAGTTTTAGGGGTTTTTTTCTAATTCTGTTGGAAAATGATGTAAGTTTGATAGGGATTGCATTGCTATAAATGGCGCTGGGTAGTATGTACATTTAAACAATATCAATTCTTCCTTCATGAACATGGGATATTTTTCCATTTATTTGTGTCATCTTCAGTCTCTTTCATCAGTGTCTTCTAGTTTTCAGTGTGTAGATCTTTCACCCCCTTGGCTAAATTTATTCCTAAGAATTTTACTGTTTTTGCTATTGTTATAAGTAGAATTATTTTATTTGATTCTTTTTCAGATAGTTTGTTGTTAATGTATAGAAATGCAACTGATGTTTATATGTTGATTTTGTATCCTTCAGCTTTACTAAATCTGTTTATTAGTTCTAACAGTTTTTTAGCAGAATCTTAGGATATTCTACTTAAAAGATGATATAATCTGGAAACTATTTTAATTCTTCCTTTCCAATTTGAATGCCTTTTATTTCTTCTCACCTAACTTCTCTAGTTAGGATTTCTAGTACTGTGTTGAATAAAAGTAATGAGGGTGGGCACCCTTCTAATATTGTTCCTGATCTTAGTGGAAAAGTTTTCAGCCTTTCACTGTTGAATACGATGTTAGCTGTATGGTTGCCTTATGTGGCTTTTATTTTATTGAGATACATTCTTCTATATTCATTTGTTGAGCATATTGCTCATGAAAGGATGTTAAATTTTGTCAAATGCTTTTTCTGCTTCTATTGAGATCATGTGATTTTTATCTTTTATTCTGTGTTGTAGCACACTTATTGATTTGCATATGTTGAACCATCCTCATACCTAAGGCATAAATCTCACTTGATCATGGTATGTAAGTCTCTTACTATGCCTTTGAATTAGGTTTGCTAATATTTTGTTGAGAATTTTTATGTCCATATTCATCAAGATTATTGGTCTGTAGTTTCCTTTTCCTGTGGTGTCCTTATCTGGCTTTTGTGTCTGGGTAATGCTGGCCTTGTAAAATGAGTTTGGGAGTGTTTCCACCTCTTCAGTTTTTTTGGAATAGTTTGAGAAGGATAGGTTAAATCTAATCTGAATGCTTGCTAGAATTCATCAGTGAAGCTATGTGGTCCTGGACTTTTGTTTGTTGGGAGATTTTTGATTACTGATTCAATCTCCTTTCTCATTATTGGTCTGTCCAAATTTTCTATTTCTTACTGATTCAGTTTTGGTAGGTGGTACGTTTCTAAAATGAATTTATTCATTTTTTTCCTAAATTATCCAGTTGATTGGCATATAATTATTCATAGTAGTCTCTTATGATCCTTTATATTTCTGTAGTGTTGGTTGTTAATGTCTCCTCTTTCATTTCTGGTTTCATTTATGTGAGTCTTCTCTTTTTTTCTTAGTCTAGCTAAAAGTTGGTCAATTTTGTTGATGTTTAAAAAACCCCTTAGTTTTGTTAATATTTTCTATTTTGTGGGGGTGTCTCTTTCATTTATTTCTACTCTGTTCTTGGTTATTTCCTTCCTTTGCTAACTTTAGACTTATTTTTTTTTTTACTTCCTTGAGGTAAAATTAGGTTGCTTATTTGAAACCTTTCTTTTTATTTCATGCAGGCATTTATCACTAAAAATTTCCCTCTTAGAACTGCATATGGGTCATCCCATAAGTTTTTGAATATTGTGTTTCCATTTTTGTTTGTTAAAAAATTCTCTTTTGATTCCAACTTTAACCCATTGGTTGTTCAAAGTGTGCTGTTTAATTTACATAATTTGTGAACTTTCCAGCTTTACCCCATTAACTGATTTTGAGTTTCATACCATTGTGGTTGGGAAAGATACTTGGTATAATGTCAATCTCTTTTATTTACCAAGACTTGTTTTGTTACCTAGCATATGATCTGTTCTGGAGAATGCACCATGCTCACTTGAGAAGCCATATATTCTGCTGCTATTGGATGGAATGTTCTGAATATGTTTGTTAGGTCCATTCGGTCTAAAGTATGGTTCAAGTTCAATGTTCCCTTCTTGATTTTCTGTCTGGACAAAATATCCATTGTTTAAAGTGGGATATTGAAGTTTCCCATTATTGTATTTTTATATTTTTCCCTTCAGATCTGTTGGTATTTGCTTTATATGTTTATATACATAGTGTGTATGTATTGATAACTGTTGAGTGTGTATGTATTTACAACTGTTATATCCTTTCAATGCATTGACCCCTTTATGATTATATAATAA